AATACTAAAATAATTTTCATTAATTGTTTTTGTTTATAAATATTTATTTTCTTTAGGAAATGCATTCTGCCCCTCGAGCGATTCGAATTCCGCGCTGCTCCCGCCGCTAGTACGCTGCGCGGCCGGAGAGGGCAGTGCGGACCAGGTGCAAGCCATCGATGGAGTCCAGTGTACGGTCGCAATCCTGTATGCAAGTAGGATTGAAATATATGACTACGTCTTCATCGTACTACTAAATCCGGGATTTATTGGGTCCGGATCTAGTAAATCGCATGTCTCCATTGCCTTAATCAGAGATGAGCTCTCTGCCTTAATAAATGTGCAGATTCGATTCTGACATTTCGATCGACACTTAAATTCGAATTTACTGGGTTTGGACATAATAAATTTCGGATTTCGAGTACGATAGAGACGTAGTCATAGTAAACTGGACGCTTGCCGCGCTTAAGAATACACGGCGAGCTTATTCCAGAGAAAGATAGATTTGGATGCCTTGTATCCTTGTCGCATAAAGTTCGGTAAGCGTTTGTCCGAGAAAGATGAAGCGATAGATGGTACTAAACGATCGATATATCATTAGCACTACCATAAACGTAAGAATATATCGACGGAGCTCAAAGTCCCATCTTGGACGAGGGGGGGATAAGCCTACGCGTAGGAAAGGGAGGGGTATACTGCTTCTGATTTTTCAGCCTCCTAATTAGCTCACCTGGCTGATTGATTCGTAAGAATATCTTACGTCCATGGATTGGCTCCAGAAAGCGGCGCGTAATTTTGAAAGCAATTTCGATTATTCTTGATAACACGAGTGTAAGTTGAAATATTCTGTCCGGTGAAACAGATGTTCCTTGATCAACATTTTTCTTTCTAGGTGAATGTAATATAAAATATCAAGATGAGTTAATGAAATAAAACATTGAATGACATTTATGTGTGCAACCAAATCTCAGCCAATCAGGAAGCTAAGATTTCAGAACCACTCTACACTATCTTACCATTGTTCGTATATGTGTACATATGATAAGTTGGACAAAAATGAGTTGGATCTTTATTGGGGGGCAAGTACGCGAGCCGCCCACATTCACCACCGAGGGCAACACAGAACGCGATCGCGCGATTTTGTCCGTGAGCAATCTCCCAACTCATCTCTCTAGATAATTAATATTTAATAATATTTTTGGTTATATTAGTCGACTTAAATTCTCGAGAATTTAAAAACACTACTTTCAACTCATTCCTGACGACACTTGCACTCACTAGGACTCGGGCCGCAACATCGTTGCGCCATCTCTGAGTATCGACTAGAACACAATTACTTTTGAAATGCAAAAATGAAAAAAGATTACGTTTAACTGCAAAGATATTTGTCTTTTTTAACAATATTTTGGATACGACTGATGCCTGTAAGTGAGTCGACCAGTTATGTGATTCAAGTTTAAGAAACCTTGAACATATCGTCGACCACTTAGTTTCCGTTGCAAATTATATTGAAACAGGCGGAAGAAAAATATGTAACTGTATGTATCGATACATTCGATCTCGGAAAGTGTGTAGGACGAATTTGAAACAATCAATCACGTTTTGCCATCGCGCGATTCATTATCATAGGCATTTTATTTTTAACTAAAAAATGCTTAAATTTGAATATATACTCAATATATGTTCATTTTTACAAAGATTTTAGTGAGCTAACTAACCTAATTTTAGAAACATGAACATGGACCTTCTGGCTCGAATTTCAAACTCACTACGATAAATTGGCAGAAAGTGTCATGTAGGCGTAATGATTTATTGTAGTAGAATTAGAGTAATAACAATCACATCGTGTCATCTATCAACGAGATATAACACACATGTTAAAATGATGGGACATAAATAATTTAGATACATCGTTGAAGGGATCGATGCCACAGTGTTTAGAAATCAGTAACATTAAAAATATATATGTATAATATATATATAATATGTATAAATTGTCAAATTATCGCTATAAATATCTTCTAAAATCTTGCGTGGCAAATTAATCACTTAAAAACAATTCACAATTTAGTTATTACTTTAGGCACCAATGGTATGCGGACCCTGTCTTTGGTACGTACGACCGATTCGACTTCAGTATGTCTGGACAAACGAGACATAGAGAAAGTCTTTTACATCTGAACGGCGTCTCATCCGTACTCATTTCGCAACTTCACTTATTCAATGTTTTTGTTCTTATTGATTGTCAAAAAATGGATAGTTGGTAGTCGCTTTTTCTCAGTGACGTAGTCCTTATGCACGTCTCTTAACGAAAGCTCAGTCTTCTTCTTTCTTCTCGGGTTTCAACTCGACCATTCTGTGTACCTCTTCTGGACTGAGTCTGTAACATTGCAATAGTTAGGTGATAAATCCTAAAAATGTATTCTTATAAGTTACCGTTTTACATATTTTGTGTTTAATTCGTTTAATTGCAACAAGTAGATTATTACTTTGAATCTTTTAATACGCTATCTTAATACTTTTGACACCTACCCTAAGAGACTATGCAAGTCGCACACGAAACGATAAACGTATCGTTTTCCGGCGGTTTTGTGGATGATATTCTTGTCGTAGTAATAACGCAAACCACGACTAAGCTTCTCGTAGTTCATTTTTGGCTTATTCTTACGAATGCCCCAGCGACGAGCTACTTCGTCAGGATCGGTTAACTTGAATTCCCAACCATCACCGGTCCACGAGATGAAGCCTTGGCAGGATTTGTCCGTTAAAAGCTCAAGCAAGAATTGCCACAATTGAATCGGCCCCGAACCAGTGAAACAGGGACCACCTCCTAGAAAAACGTTTACGTATAAAGAAGTCATCCATCACGTTAGCACATCGGAATAGTTCATATAAAAGGAATGGTTACACCAGCAATGGAAATAAAACGAATGAAACAATGACAGCGGCATAATAACGCTCACATAGTTGTTAAACCCAACACACAAAGCCATTTCGAAAACGTAAACAAAAGAATTAATTATTATCAAAGATACGTATAACTGTTAATCGTCAAATTCACAAAGATTACTATTTTTATGAGAGCGAGGTGCTCCATTTTTAATACGGCATAGATCGCAAACGAAACATGTTTTAGCTCACCCGTGTAACCGGCTAGCATGGCACTCTGCAGCAGTGGCTTCTGATCGGTATTATTTCCAATGGACGATGGATGATGGGGGTTGGACGAATCCCGGGGTCCAAGTCCCGCGAGGAAGGCAGGGTGGTGCGAAAGATGTTCACCGAGTGGTCCCACACCCCACTGGTCGCTTCCAACTCCGCCACCGCCAGTCCCGCTTCCACTTCCGGGGACTGTTTGAAACGACGTTGCATCATACTGGCCGTAACCACCCTCGCTGTATCCCTCATGATAGCGACCTATCGACATCAAAAGAGTCTCATCATGAATCGTACCAAAGTGCAAACCACACATCCTACATCTTGCAAAGTAAGAGCGAGGCTTCAGACTTTCGGCGCAGACAAGCGTAAAGAATTTCTATTTAGGTTGATATGATCCTTCTTAACGATTTCAACGAAAAAAAATGCCAGAACTTACGCCTCGACCCAACAGGACACTGTAAATTTGAGGGAAATTGTATGTTACGAATAGATGTATCGAGACGAGGCATAAGTTTTTTTTTTCTTTAACGAAACGCACGAATCGTGCCAACACAGAGAACAACCATGATCGTACCTCGAGGGTAGTTCTTGAACGGTGGGGGTTGGTATTTTGGCTCGAGATGAATACCACTGGCGCCGTAGAACTCAGGCGAGCTGTCTAAATTATAGGGATGCGGCGTCTGATGGTCTTGTGGCAAGTTGTGATATTCGGATGCCTCGTCGTATCCGGAGTAATGTGCCGGTGTCATGTAACTTTCCGTCGCGGCGGTGCTGACCCGAAGATCGGTTTCGTTGGGCCCGGTGCCCCCGATGTCTCCGCCGCCGCTGCCACCACCGCCACCTCCGCCGCCGCCACCGCCGCCACTACCGAGACCGCCACCTCCACCTTGCAAGTGCTCCGTTATATGATGATTGGTGTAATTTGCTGAAACCAGTTCGGGGGACTATGTTAATACCTTGCTAAGTACCTAATTTGCGAACAGGCGTGTGAAATCTTGGTCCACTTTTCGGGGTCCCGCCAACGTCACGCACTCGATTGGGAACCTGCTGCACGTTTTACCGGTAAATGACTCTCGTTATCAAACGATCATTCATTAAGGAAGGACGCATTAAAATGAAACTATTAATTTTCCTCCTCCACGTACTGCCAAGGTATAAGAGTTTTGATCATTAAAAAACTTGATTTACTTTTGATCGATAACGAAAAAACCGAAAGTGGACGTTTCACACATTTTGCAATGTACAGAGGATTTGCGTCAAAACAACGCGAAGCTGGGGGGATGTGACTTCGGATACTCACTTTCTGTCTTCAATTGGTTTAAATTCCGTAAGTGAATGTAAGCACTATTGGCGTTGTTGTTGTTGTTATTGTTGTTGTTATTGTTATTGCTGCTTGCCGTGGTAGAATGAGAATTAGGAGGTTGAGTACTATGATTGTGAGGTGGAGGAGAGGTTTCATCCCTCTGGCTTTCGTCCTGGCAAACAGGACTTCGTAGATGGCTGTAACCCCCTGTACAGACAAAAGTAATCTTCGTTTAATTGTCAAGTAGTTAATAACGCATATAAAAAATATCTTAACCTGAAGACGTTTGATGACTTTTTCTTTTTCAACTCTTGTAAGTGCGCTTAGCAACTCGCAACGGTGAGACTATTTTCATCGTAACCCTTTTATAAAACGTCAATTACCGCTAGAAATCTGCTGCGTACGATTTGTGTCCGAATGTTGAATAGTGAAAGGATTCAAGAGCGTAAAAATAAAGCATAATGCGTAATAGAATGTCCACAAAGCTAAAGTCGACGGACGCCAAACGACTGGAAACGAGAGGGACATAAGTATCGGGAGAGAAAGATTACGTATATACTCTCATAAATAATATAAGTTTGTCTATTTAAAGGATGTCTCAGATTGCTCCAAGATGCAGGAGAAGAAAATCTGCAATGAGAGGACGAAACCGTGCAGACGATAGTACGGTAAAGTCAGGCCTATCTTTAGAAGCATCTAACGAAGAAATAAAAAATTTCATTTAAACAACCCAAAAGTAACACCCCCGACGATGTCTCTCAACACGCGAGCCAGTATTCTCGGAGCTATCGTCACGGTTTCATTGTTTGTAACAAATGATTAGTTCATCGTTTCTAGCACGACACCCGTGTCAATTTCATAATGTACGATTTTCAGAGACGATATCACGGGGCTCTCGGCTGTGAAATTTTTTATCAATGTACGCAGTGTCAACGCAGATTCGCCTAATGTACGAGATCGTAAGCAGCCATTAAATGAGAAATAGAATTGCTCCGTTGTGTTAAACACGCGAAAGAAATGACATGGAAGAAACTCGCAAAGTCGAGGAGGGCCGCCGAGAGACGGGCGAGGGGACCATGGGTATATACACGAGGCAAGGTACGCGAACTAACCCGACGACGACAGAGGTCGAAGAGAGAGACAAGAGAGAGGAACGAGAGGAACTAGAGCCACGGGAGGAATGGGAGGAACGGGTGAAACGTGGGCGGCGCGTATCGACGATTGGCTCGGCTGGACTCCGCCTATATTCGACGGCTTCGTACACGAGAAATCCCTGCTACGGCCTGTGCGAACTTACTCTTCTCAAGCCATATGCAGAATTTAGCTTTTATACTAATTTTCAAACCGTATACGTACATTGCGTACACGTTTAAAACGTATTCAAAGACGATTTCTTTTTCACATTTTGGCCGACAAGCTTTGCTGCTGCCCTTTCTTTCAATCCTTATACTCGGGACAAAGTTCGTATTCGTTTCTCAGAGAGTAATTGGTCAACATTTAATGAGCGCCAAAACTTCATTCCAAAGAGAATAATTCACCGTCTGTATTAATAGAATATGGACTGCACCGATTTTTAGCCAACTTCTTCTACTAGCAACGACTCGTGCTTATCACGATGTAACGATACAAATTGTATTTGTTTTACAGGTTCTCCACGTCGTTATAGAAAACCTCAATGCATTATGTAGCAGTTGTTACAGGGGGAGTACGTAACCGAGTTTCATAATTACAATGAGCAGTGCTCACGAAAGTTTCTAAATGTAGATTTTGTTGGTAATGCGCAACCCCTTGATTATCGATAATAACTCGAGGTCAACTAATGATACCCACACACCCCATTTAACGTCTCCACTGTAATTTACCCAATAACTTGTATCAAAACGTGTGAAAAGGACGAATAATCCACTTTTGCTGCCCAGCGCGGGTAAAATCGCTACATTAAAAAATCGAGGACTGTAAAACCTGAATTTAATAATATCAAGATAAATGCAACGGTAAGTGGTACACTTTCATCCAGGTTCTTCGTTTTAATTTCATCTTCACCCTTCGACATTAATTAAAAATGACTTTCCTCTTGACTGTAACGAGAGCCGTTAATCCCTTTTTAGACCATTAAATACGTAACATATAACGATTACCCCAAGTGGGACATGAAAATTCCCAAGAATCTGCCTCATAACGTACACTTGGTCTTTTTCCAGCCAACCCGAAGATATAATCTCGATTTTGCTCGAGATTGAACCGGTTTGTCAATATCGATTAAAGGCTTAATTGCGGTGCCATTAGCGCGAAGCCTAAATGATTCGACTGTAAGGTGAAATAAAGAAGGAAGCCCTTGACCCGGGGACTCTTGGAACGTGTACGAACGACATGCCGAGCAAGAAAGTCCGATCGGCTAGGAAAAGCCAGGGACAAAGAGGAAAGGGAACTAGCAACGATTAAAATTTGGCGAAAAGATTCCAGGACAGAAATGGCGGGTCGAGGTGGCACCAAGAAGGAACCGAGCGTTGGGACTGCTGAGAAAGGCAGAAAGGAGATAGCCAGCTTGAGGAAAGTAGCAGCCGCGTATCAGCTGGAGAGCAGGTGCCGAAGACGGGCAGCGAGCTAGCAAGAGCAGCGGCTCGCGAGTCAGTCAGCTAGCGAGAGGCCAACGAAGCGAACGAGCAACGAGAGTTACGGGGCACGCGCCAACCCAAACGAAACGCCTGGTCTTTCCCTCGGCATGGCCCAGCTGCCACCCAGGCGACCCGTCGTCGGCTCTCATCAAAATTCGAACGTACTCTTCGAGGTTCTCCTCGAGTCCGATCGTTTGCTCGCCATCGTTATTTCCTTACCACGAAATCCAATTCCGCGCGAATGCGCTTATCCTTGCGACGTACGAATTATTCCGATACAAGAGTTAGTGACCATCCTTATAGTATACTAAAAAAAGGCCTAACGTCATGTATCGAAAAGTTGCCAAATACGCATTATCCACGTAAATCGTACCATTTTTCTGTTATTTCACATTTGTAATAACGTCCAATACTGGGCACTGCAAATGTTAAATAACGGTAAACACATAAACGGGGAATAATAGGATGACCTTCCCCTAATGTGTCTTATGCCCCCCTGCAATTGCACCTTAACTCTTTGTCCTGTAAGGTTCAGTATTTTTTAGGAAGGATCGTAATGGAAAATTTGTTTAAAATGTGCCGTGAGGAGCAAGTCCCGTTCGAACGAATGAATCCTTGGACGATGATAATAGGAGGCAAGAGAGATGTATGAATAGGATAAACGCCAAATCTAGAGTCCTGCACGGCCGGAGGTCGTAGGATCCTAATTCGAAGAGTTAGTCACGAGCATTTTAATATTTACATCCAAGTAACCGAATGGATCGAATCGGTTAGCATTAAGCGCGCACTTGGACGGTGTAAAACAATGCCACGCTCGATTGTGCCTGTACGTCGTATAGCTCGAAAAGCGTCGTCCTCGATGGCAACGAAATCACGCTTCGCCTTGTCGGGCGCACGGTGACCCGTGAACTCTCCCACACTGTATGCGTGTGAGTAGTCGCGACGAAACGATACAGGCACGGAACGAGCGATTCAACTTAGTATGAGCAGATGATAAGTACGAAGTGGCACGTATAATTGCACGACAAATAAAACAGCTCGGCCGGTCGGGAGTCGGACTTGACACCAGCGGATACGTGTGCGCGTGTCTATGCCCAAAGGAATAATTATCGGCCATTTGCCTATCGCTCGATAAGCAATCAACGGGTAGATTTTTTACCCGACAGTCAACGGAGAAGCCTTCGACTCGTTTCCACAAAAAGTTCATCTCTTGGCCATGCAATGTTACACGGACTGTAGATACAGGTACTCGTATAACGAGGTTTGCATACCGCGGTATGGATTTTCGTGATATACAGTGATTACCTGTATAAAGCGGAGATTCAAGGATGCGTTAATTAACCCTGCGCGTGTAAAGGGTTATGTACCTTTCGTCGTTGTATTCGGGCTTTGGTATGTGTTTCTATTGTTGGGCACTAATTTTTCATCTGATTTAAGAGACAATTGTTAGACTCACGTGCAGTATATACTTTGACTAGGGAGTGGTTACTCTCAATACGAAGATGAACTTGGTATGTACCGATGATACTTTCCGACCGATCTAATGATATACAAGGAACGAATACTCCTCTTACAAATAATATTTTTATAACATTTCACTTTATACAGGTGAACCTAGCCGAGGAATTCAAGCCAGGCACGACGAGACAGTTATGGCCCTCCTACATTATTTATGGACACTACTTCGAAGACAATGCTTATCTATTGAAATGCGAAAGCAAAACAGGTATACAGAACTTCTGATCTTGGTTACATCGAAGTTATGGGTTTACAAAACTCGCGTCACTACTTTTGAGCGACATGTGTTCAAACGCTTAAGGATAAGTGGAAACCGTAAAATTATAAACGAGTTCGTTTTTAAGACCATTAAACCAATTTAAGTGGCTCTTGGCAGCGTTTAGTCGATCCCTTGCTGTTTAATTTTTTTCATTGCACACGTCTAAGCCAACTATTCATGCCACACTCGATCGCGAATGTAATTTATTTCCATCTACAGGTCTTTCTACCTGGCTCGAGTGCAACTCATCATTTTCACGGGGAAGGGTTACCTCAACAATGTATTTTCGGGTAACAGTAGTCGTGGCCGGGGTTCGAGATACAAGGGAACCATTTGAAGACAACTTTCAAAGCGTCCTTACTTCGAGATCAAGTCACGCAGCGACGCACGCGCGTAGACTCTTGCGTGCATGCTAATACGACAAGGACCGCAATTTCGAAGAGGTATCGAAGTACGGGAGCCGTTAGTCGACTGAAATAACAATTCCAGATTGACATAAAACCCTATCGATTTTGGCGGAGCCGTCGTCAACGTTTTCAATTGCAATGTCTACTTTATGAACATACATATCTACCAAGTCTAACAGGACGGTGATACATCTATCTGGTGGGATTACGGATATCGCGAACGGTGTAGTGTGATAATATAAATCAATAATTAGCATGGGGAGATACCCGCAGTGCTAATTACGAAATAAGTTCCTAAGAAATGTTAATTGCAGCGGAACGATTGTTGCTTTTGTAGCTATGGGGGCACAATACCAAATATTATTATCAGCAGAATTTGCCAGGTATCGTTGAACGCTAACTGGAAGT